AGTAATTACTTCCAACCACTCTTGAGATTTGTAGCTATTTATCGCGATCTTCACCGACAGATCGACTAAATTCGTCATTTCTATCGCTTGAATATCATCATTTGCAGCATCAATGGACACTTCATTCTCGACTTCGGACTCATCTTCATTTTCTTCTCGTTTGATATACTGTTCTCTGTTTTCCTCTACTACCTGAGCGCATTAATTTCGGTCTACCCACTCCTTGCATGGCAGTTGACCTCACCGATGATCCCACTGGTAAATTTACTGTAATCTGCCGCACCGACGCACTATCTCTTCTCGCAGATTTCTTTTCACCATTTTAGTTGGATTTTATTTCTATCTCAACTCCGCTTCGTTTGTCTTCGTCGAACTTCTTAGTTGACTTGTTGACATTCCTCTCTACCAACTCTTCTTTCACTCCCTCTTCGACGAATCTTGCGTCCCTGGTTATCACAACTTTTCTGTCCTCAGGAACGTACACTTGATACCCCTTTGATTCTTCAGAGTATCCCACCAGGACGCCTTCTTTCGCCTTGGGTTCAAATTTACCGCTACCATGCTCCTTTTGTAGCACGTAGGCTTTTGCTCCGTACGCTCTGAGATTGCTTAGGTCTGGTATACACTCACACCAATACTCATACGAAGTATGACCTCCCAAACTCGCTGTCAAACACCTCGAATACTCTCGCCCATTGTCTGTCATCAGACACTTCATGCGTTTACCAGTCTGATTTTCGACTCGCGCTTTGTACTCTTTAAATGCTTGGAATATGTCACTTCTATTTCTGAGAAATATTACTCTACACCATCGACTGTAGTCATCAATGAACGTTACAAAATATTTTGATCTGTTGAATGACTTCGTCCTCGCAGGTCCCCATACATCAGAGTGCACTGTACTTAATACATCTGAACTTCTTTGGGATCTTTTCGGAAATGGCAACGCTGTCGATTTTCCGCGCATACATACGTCACACGGCTGTGATAGTTTCTTACTCTTAATGTCTGTTCCCGTAGCTAGCCCTCTCTTTGATAATCTGAGAATATCCCGTACATTCAAATGGCCAAGTCTTCGATGCCACACATCTTCACTCACAGCGCTATTATTTACAAGATACACTTGCTCTTGTTTTCCATAGAAATAAGGAAGATTTCCTTCGTGCTTAGCAACGAGTTTTATTTTCCCGTCTTTTTCGCGCACTGTCACTCTATCTTTTTCGAATAGGAAAGTGGATATCACTAGCTAACAACAACTTCTCTTTCCTCGTACTTTGAATTTCTCGAAGAATGTTTACATCGTTACACGTGTGCAATGTACAGCCACTATTCAAACAACAGCGTCTTATTCAAGCATTGTCTTTTGCACCTAATAATTCTTCTAGCGCTATACCTTGGGATAATGCTCCAATTACTTTTGATGACGATTCGCGTTTTGAATTTTCTTGCGAACTCTTTTCTGGACACTCGGCAGCCTAATGACATACACCGTGACATTTGAAGCACTTAAATCGAAAATTTTCTGCTTCCGTGGCTTCGTTGCTCTGCTGCTGTTTCCTTGAGTCAAATTCTTCTAAAGTTTGATGTTAAGCTATTGAACAGCATGTATGACAGCAATTCTGGATTTATAGGAATATCCATCGATTGCAATTTCGCTGTGACGTCAAAGAACTCCATCAACTGCGTTCTCAAGTCATCATCTTCGGACATCTTAAACGTTGAAATAGGTTTTAGTAGACTCGCCTTCTCGGCCAGCTCTGTTGAGGCAAACTCTCCTTGTAACCTGTACCATACATGCGCTGCTGTTTTCAACCCTTTGACTACTCGCAAGAAACTGGGGTCAATTGCAATTATTAAATCTGCCCTTGCTTTGGCGTCGTCGTCGTCCCATTTTTCTTGCGCTACCTTCGACGCTTCTTTTTCCGCTCCTGCTTTCAGTTTCGGCCGCGGTATCCTGACGCACACATGCTTCCAGGTACCATTTTTTACTGTCACAGCTTCCATTTGCACTGACCAACTATCATAGTTGTCTTGAGTAAGCCCTTCCTATTCTTATTGTCCTGTGCCTTCACACTCGGCTTTATAAGGCTTTAAAAGACAAAAGCCAGTATATAATAAAAAGAACCCTGACTTCTGAATTTTACTTACTTATATTTATGCATACTTTACAAACTCAGTTATCAATTCAGCACTTTTTTTAATTTCCATTAACATGCTGACCAGGCCATTCCCTATGCAACTTCCTAGGACCACAGAATTAACTACCAATACCAACACTTAACGCCTTCCCTGCCCTCATACAATCCTTCTTGACAAAGAACGAATGAACTTGCCTTTTTACCTGAATTGACCCTTAGATTTGCAGCTGTACTGGGTGGTTTAAGTGCTGCCCTCGGAGATCAGACATGTGATAGTGAAATGGCATATGTAAATAAAGAAGAGTTATTTTGACGGAAAGTACTTTTTACATTTTTTCTCTCTTTGCAGTAGAGGGATCAGAGTAGGAGTAGGTGAATTAGTTAAGAATCCATATCAAGAACTAGTTTGATCTTATTGAATTGAGGAAAACGATGAAGCTAGTAGAAGTCATAATTACAGAAATATTCATCATATATCCCAAAGTAATGAATTAAATAGAATCTAATAAAGTAGGCTTTTGCCTTAGTCAAACAAAGAAAAAGATAAGTTATGATACTTCGGTGAGTGCACAAGATAAAACCAGTGTTCCAACTTGTCACAATGCTCAAACTTCGCGTTAATTATATTTTTTCTTCACAGTTTACCTCAGACTCCAAGACAGCTATTGGTTAGTCTTACTGTAACTCGTAACGTGTTCAAGGACTTGAAAGAAGTCCTTAACTCACATTTCGCACGCCAGAACGATGTTTAATTGTACTTATTTAACCTCCTCAAATCTCTGAGCAATCATACGTTGGGTAGGCAATGATAAGGTATTCTAATGTTGTGTATGACTCCAATAAGGCCGTCACCGTGATTGTTTATATTTCGCTAGTCGCTAAATCATAGATCCGTTGCTTATTTTACTCAAGATTCCTGCACACAACTTGAATTTTTTTTGATAAAGTAAATATAATCTGTATGCTTGTAAAAAGAATTAGGTAGACTACATAGAGCCTCGCAAGGTCAATTTGGATGACAGAATTTATTACAAAGATCAAAGCAATGTACCCTTAATATGTTCGGTAATGGACACAAGAATTACAAGCTCTATTTCTCAGCTTATTAAAGGTAATTAAATTAATAAATTTTATAGAAAATTAAACTATCACTTTGACTCACTATTGCATAACTTAAATCGTCTGGCAACGTATGAAAATTATATAACAGATTTAGTGGAATGATTAACGAATGTACAATAATTAGTTAATGAAAATCTATTAGACTCGAAAGAAATGTCAAAGAAGTATTATAATGAAAAAACGAAAGCTATCGAGTTTCATATAGGGGATAATGTTTTCTTAGAAGAAAGTATGAAGCCAAAAAAAAATTAGGAGATTATTATATTTGACCATTCGAAGTTTTAGAGATATATCCAAATGAAAATGTTGATATCAATCAAAAACTATCCGAAAATAGTTCATTTTGATAGATTGAAAAAATCGAATAACCAAGGAAAAGGATCTAGATTTTTGTTCTTTTCCTTGAGACTTAAGTCTTCTTTGTCTCGAATATTATATTGATAATAATTCGACGTTGGTAAATTTTTGTATGATGTTAAGGTGATCATCAAGTTATTTTCAATAAATATTTAAAGTGATTCCTGAGTGGAAACGTGAATATGGCGCTGACTGGAGCATCAATTACGGACCAATTAATTCGAATATATCTTGACCAGAGTAAAAAAATCATCTGTTCCAAATGTTATTATAATTTTTCAATAAATTTTTTTATTGTTTTTATGTAAGATCCCCTTATCCCTGTCTATTGGTAGAGAAGCTAGGACTAAAAAGAAGGAGTTAAATCTCTAAGGTTAATCATATGGTTTACATTGTAAAATCAGAAACTTATTTCTAAATATATAGTTGCATTTTATATTCATGGAAGCTTGGACTAACAGGGGGTTTTCTTCAATACTTAGATTTATGAATATTGAAGTTAAAAATAAATCTAAGATTCGTTATGCACTTCGTTAACAATCCGCGTGATTCCTTTTAGTTGTACTACACTTTTATTAGAGCAGAAAAAGAACATAATAAAGAGATGAATATAATACTGATTTTTATCACCCAACTCAATCGAATAATTCTTAAGGGTGAAAACTCAGAATGAACTGAGTCTCTTTAACGCGTCTTAGTACGCCCAAAGATATTATGTTGGTGTTTCTACAGACCTTGAGAGATCAAGTTAATGAATTTTTCGTCAGGTTGATGGATTCTTCGTAGGCGAGCGGAGGTGGACGTTAGGCGTTGGTCCTGTTGGTTTCTAAGAGAAAGTTGAGAACATTTGTGGAAAAGTACTGGATTTCCAAACATCAGACTCAGTATAATATGTTGTCATTGTTTGTGAAGACCCAGATATTTTGAAGGATTTCGTTATCATTTAATAAAATAAATATTTGTTATATTTTAAGACATAATTTTAGGAGCGAAAAATGCCGGACATAACGCCGCTGTACGCTGAGACAACAATATGATTTACAAGAAGCTAATTTAAGCTTTCTTGAAAAATTCAGTGTAATAAAAAACTATCCATAAAAGACTACGAGTTGTCATTTACTGACTCCAATCATTACAGATGTTTGTTTTCGAGAATTAAGTAAAGGAAGATTCAATTAAAAAAGAACAAGTTTACGCTTGCAAAAAATTACTCCTAGATCACTTACGTATATTTAATCGTGTACTCACTGAACTATGGAATTGTATAGAAGCAGTAATTTCAAATAATTTAGAATAATTTTGATTTTAATTAACAATTTTTAATCCTGAGTTTTAATGACAAAAGCCATGTAATCGAAATTTTCAACTTTTCATGTGTTTTAGGCAACAAATATTTTGAAACAAGCAGAAGGAGTTCTTACGCTCACAGTTTGCAGCACGAAAAATTCGAACGAAAGCCATGGGATAGAGGACTCTCTAACTCATCAAGCTACAAGAAATGATCCAGAAAAAATTGCTGGCGATAAAAGTATGACTATTACTAACTTAAATTTAGTACACTAAATTATAGTTACAGACAGTTCATGTATTGATTTGCATATGGATCATTCGGATATTCGAAGAATGTAAAATAAATAAGAGAATAATTGTAAAGTAACATTAATGTTAGGAAAGGATCCTACGAATCCTTATTCAACAAACTTTCATAATTGGTAAACGTAAATTTCTAAGTAAGAAGTATATTCTATTCCTTAAAATAAATGGCTTATTATACGATTGAATGCATATTTTTATAATATCGTTTCAGTCTCTTTCGGTCGAGGGTCTTCCATGAATGCCGAAAAAATCAGGCACCGCTGACCGGTTTATACTTCACTAAATATTGGCCAATTTCTTGTAAGCTATTGGCGATGATTATGTTTTAGTTCTTTATTATACTTTTGAAGTTTAAATCAATTTAACGCTGACTATCAAAATAAATTTATTTCGAAAAAAAGAAACCGAAAAAGGCAAAAACAAGATTTCAACAGTAATAATAAAAGTAAATAAGTAAATGAAATAATATCGTAAATATTTTTTTTACGCATTCATTAATGCTATAATTAAATGTATTTCTTAGCTACCTTGTCATTTATTTTTCTATAAACTCTATTCAAATATGTTTGTTTTCAGTTTTTTAGCATTAAAACGTAATCATATTTAATGTCTTCGAGGAATATTTTCTAGGCATTGATAAACAAAACTAGTAGACACTCTCTTAATTCAGTCAATTAGTTAATGTACACACCATGTAAATATTTTTTTTTAGTATAGTATTAAAAAATTATAAAAATAATTATAAATAAAAGCCTTTAACTGACACCAAACTAGGTAATACATCAGAGAAAAAGAACAACGATTAAAATTTTTTATATATTGCTAAGAAATCGTTTTAAAATCCATTAAAAAGGATTCTGTTATACCAATAAATTGGCATGGCAACTGCTTAATAGTTAGAATGCTCTTGTTTATTTTTTTAAAATCTAATATCCCTAAAATTAGGTTAAAAATAAAAAAAATGAGTAGATAGAATTTTTGCGCTGCGAATGGTTTTTCGGAATCCTCGTGTAATTTTACTAAAGGAAAAACCTTGGTCCAAAAAAAGAGATGAAATTTGCTGATTACATTGCATCTTTAATGGACTATAGTGCCCGATAATTACTCTCATTTTCATCTTACTAACTTTATATGAATGAATTAAAAAATTGCATGAGAAATCGTACACTTTTCACCAGTATCTACAAGACATATTCTTATAAATCCTCATAAAACAAGTGTTATTTCTTATGCAATTTTCCGGATTATTCTTATAAGTTTATAAGAATCTATAAAAACTATTTGTATAGTTTTCTGTCGGAATTTATCTTTCAGCAAAAAAACACTTTAAACAAAACAAAATTTTCGTGTATAGATGAATCCATAAATGTATCTTCTTATTTACTCATCCAAATCGATTCTTGTGTCGACACTCGTCGAAAGTAGATGTGTTTGCAAAAGCAGTGAAATTAAGTGTATCAAAGTAATTATTAAATCGATGTCTCAACTACACTCAAAAAGGAAAAAAAGAAGCCCAGACTCCAGTTTACTGCACCGGCTTCACTTTCACAGCCATCTCAACAATGGAAAGTGCATAAGTAAATGATCAACCAGATATGGACCTTGAATACCCAGAGGCAAACATATCATTTCCACCAACCTCACTTAACATTACTGTTAAAAAGAATCACAATGCCAATTTTTTGAACAACTAGTAGATAGCTGGTAGAGTAAGCGTTAACAACAAAAGACGAAAAAAATGTAGCGCTAGAATTCGTCTCTAATTGAACTCAATCGATATTATTCATAAACAATCCTCGGACAAGACTCACAAACATCACAACAAGACACCACAATTACCAACGCACAAAAACCTTCTAATCGAAACAAGAGCCAACCTAATCCCCCACCGATATTCATACTCGGCATGCAAACGATCTCAACTCTTGCAAACAAAATAACTGAGGTTACTAAGGTCAATAGTTACTCATACGAAGCAGTGGATAAAGAGCGTCAAGTTAAAATTATGACAGAATCGATTGAAGCCTACAAAAAAATAATAAAAATATTGAAGAAGGAAAAAGCTATATACCATACATACTAACTTGAACAAGACCAAGCCTATAGAGTAGTTATAAGATCGTCGTACCTATCAGTGCCACTAAGTGAAATGAAGGTAGCATTATAAGAATTAGGACACAAAGTCAGAAACATATCCAACATATGCAGAAAGAGAACGCGAGATCCACCCCCAATATTTTTCGTCGACCTCGAGCTTAGTCCCAATAACAAGGATATATACAATCTGAAAGAAATTCGATCCGCTAAAATACAAGTAGAACCGCCAAAAAAGAACGAAATTGTCCCATGTACCAGATGTCAGATGTATAGGCCCACCAGAAAATATTGCAACAGACAACATAAACGTGTTAAATGCGGAGAAGAACACAATACCACTTCGTGTCAAAAAAGTAAAGTCACTCCAGCGACCAATACACTACGCCAGGGATTTCACCCGGCAAACTGTGAAGAATGCCTTATCCATCGAAAAAACGATGAAGATAAAGTAACAGCATTTGTAAATCACCTATGAAAAGTCTTCTGTCCTCAGCTAGCTAACATGCAGAAACATAATTTCAAAGAAGATATCCACCAATTTCTTGAAAGCCTACTTTCAGTCGACATACCAGTAATCCACTGCTTACCAACTAAAATACTTAAAACAATAAGATTAGAAATAAATCAAAAAAAAAAAAAACACCGGGATACGACAACATCACACCAAAAATGCTCAAGAAACTACTCAAAAAGCGCTTGTCTTTATCACTCCATTATTTAATGGAATCATTGAAAGTTCTCACTACCCAAGCTAATGGAAATACTTCAAAATAATAGTAATACCTAAACCAGCAAAACAACTAGAATCAGTCCCTTCCTATAGACTTATTAGTCTTCTACCAATTCTCTCAAAGCTATTTGAGAATCCACTATTAAAGAGAATAACTCCAGTGATAGATGACAAAGGAATCATTCCCAGTTACCAGTTTGGCTTTAGAAAAAGACATTTAACCATTGAACAAGTTTATAGAGTTGTCAAACTAATCTCAAAGTGACTAGAAAAGGAATTATTTTGCACTGCGGTCTTCCTGGACATAAAACAATCCTTGGAAATGACTCAGATAGGGAAATATTACTTAAAAATTACTTCCCTTGCACAAAAATTTCTATCGGAGAATGTTAAATCATAGAGGCTTCTTTAGAATTTGAAGAGGAAAAGTTAAGAAATTTTTGGTACTCGAAAATCGTCTTATGCGAATATACAAATCTGAATCGAAATTGAAATGGTGATTACGAACCTACAGAATTCGGAAATTTCCTATAAATACAACTGAATAGGATTATAATGCCGCCAAAAAAAGTTAGCATTATTTGATAAGTTGGACTCCTTCAACATCCATGAGAGATAAATAGATATGAATCAAAAAATACGACTCAACAATTTATTTTTCGGTTAACGAATCAAACGGCATCACTTACTTTTAAATTCTTTTCAGATTTTACGAGGAAAAATTTGATAATTTCTCATGAATAAATTCAGAAATTAAAAAATATTATTTGCATATTGCTTCTCATAAAGTCTTATAGTATTTGTTTCTTTAAAATCTTACAGTACTAGATGAAAGGAAAACTCATTACTTCTACGAGTAGATTCTTATTGCATCTTATAAGAGTTTTCTAATATATTCTAATTAAACTAACTCAGGAACAAGAACATATTATTAACCTATAATTTCTTATTATCACTTATCATAGTGTTCTTAATCATTCCTACATATCAGAGTTCAACATTAATTTTTTTTTTCTGTAGTATTATAGGGCAAAATTGTCAATTACTGCTGTAATAGATAACTTGAAGAAAAAAAAAAAATTACTGAATAATCATTAATAGTGAAAATAAAATTACAAATTAATAAAGTAATGTAGAATTTAATGGATTTAAATACAAATTAACGAAGGAATTTGTAATTTTATTGATTAGATTACAAATTACTTTTATAATTGATGATATTTATAGCGAAATTACAAATTACAGGAGTAATTTGGTATTTTTTTTTTAATTACTAAATACAGAAATAATAGATGATTAAATTATTCGAATTTCAACATTACTAATTAGTAATTTTACTAAGAATTAATTAGGATTTTTATTCTATTATGGATGCATTACGTCATAATAAAAAAAAATGTTCCAATATGTATATCAATGATTTAACGTATGGTTCAATAATTAATTGAGTGTTTTAACATTTACACATATATTTCGATCATAACACTAATGTTTAAGGAACATATTTATGTTTTAATAATTGTTAAGATATTTTAAAGTTGAATCACACAATGAAACGTTCTAACTTATGTTTCAATGATTAAATATATGTTTTAACAAACTTCTTTATGTTTGAATAGTCGAATATGTGTTTTAATGTTCTTAATTATGTTTAAAAACAATAATATGTTTTAACGTTGGATTATGTGTTCGCAAAGAAGGACAAATTTGTAATTGTTGAACAAATATTCAAAAATTCGGGAATTACCTATTAAATTCAATTCTCGTTAACATTTTCTGCTGTAATTGAAAGATTCTTTAGTTTTGCAACAATGTATAATTTATGTAAACATTTTTTCGGCTGTAGAAGTGGCGTCCTTCTCGTAGGTACAGCTGGAAATCTCTTCAATCAATTGTTGAGATTGAGGAGAGCTAACAGCCGCCAACAATTACTTTTATTCTAATATTGCAGACAAATTTTCTTGTCGTGATAACAAACTTTTCTAAATCGCAAGCCACCACTTTGATTCTTGCGTATCTATCGAAGTGATCATAGACTACAAACGAAATAGTCCTAGTCTTTAGCCGGGTTGCTTCCCATTTTCATTACCATTGAAGAGATCATG